CAGCTAACCGGGGGGACCACAGTCCCGGTTACAGGCCCACAGTCGATGGTAGCGCTGTCCTCGCTCCTGAAAGCCTCGAGGTGCAGCTCGACAAGAAGCTCCATGTTGAACAAAGCCCCGAAACGTCCAACAAGCTCCATCATGTGCGAGTGGAAATCCCTTTCTCTAGCCACCACGCTCTGCTGGTGGAGGGGCGCCAAGAGGGGTTGAGGTATGGTTACTCTTGTACTTCCAACCATGTGCTTTTATTTTTAGTTTTGCGCTGCATCTTTCACCTCCCTAAACCCATATGCCTTTGGAGAGCATTTTGTGCAACATGTGAAGACTTGCCTTCAAACGGGTGTGGACAAAACAAACAGTATTTCCAGGGATATTCAAACTTTTTTTTTTTGGTCTATTACTATGAATAATACTTAAAACAGGCAAAAAGCTTTATGTGATTTCGTTGTTGCATCTGAAAATAATTTCATAGTTTCCCACCTGGTGCTGTCTCGTCAGACCAAATTTCTAGGTCTTGGCCACAAACAGGTGCCTTCTCCTGACAAGGGAGGTTAAGGACTGCCTATAAATTAACTTGGAGTTACAGACCTCTCCGTGCCCTTTAGTAGAGTTGGTTGGCTGACTGCACTGTGTATCTTCCTGTGCTTTTAAACCCTTTTGCAGATGATTGTGGTCACGGATCAACATGTCCAGTCACTTGCAGCCTGCTTTGGGGAAAAACTGGTCACTTGATTTACATCAGGTTCAAATATGGACCGTCAATTCCGTCAGACACAATGATCTGCACTTTTGTTCTAAGCTCTTGCACGATGGTTTTAAGCTTGTGAATCATTACTGTGACTCCTGAGTAACTGGTTAGATCTCAGTGGCTGTAGTATACAGAAGAAAAATCTCAGAATTTGCAAGGGAGTTTAAAGACCATGACATGACTCCAAAATCCTGGTAAAACACACGATTCTGGCACCCCTAGCCTCTTGCTTTTGCCCCATCTACTCATGAATGAACTGTAGACTTTCCCAATGTACCCAAATGAACCCTGTGCTCAGAAGTGTTTGTTTCTGACATGTTATTCCGGAGTGACCACATTGTCCCAAAGCTATTCCAAATGCATATTGTTCTGAAATTGGGGAGGATTTAATATTCCTCATTATATATTAAGGTCCCTGGAATCTTGTTCAAAACAAAGAAAAATACAAAGAAAAAACCCAACCACTCACCAAGTCACTATGGTTGTTTTTCCTTATTGTGCTCTGCAAGCCAGTTGTCCACAATTCGTGCATTTCATTTGGGTGTCATCTTTAAAGGGATTTTTTGTGGGTGCAATCTGTAGAACACCTTTCCTAGCACTTACTATTCAGCCTGGTTTTCTCCTTTAGTTGGTAGCTGTATGTTCTCCCTGCACTTGACTGATCTGGTGGGTGTAGCTGCAATCCCTTTTCCCTAGCTGTGCGAGCATGCCTGGCCTAATAATTGTTCTATTTGAATTAGCATCAAGTATGGTCATGCATTTTGCATATTGTATTAAATCTTTGGTAATCAAGTTCATCCTGTTGTTATTAAATCATGTAGGAATAATCAGAAGTCACGGATTTGATGCATGTCTGAGTTTTGTCAGGAGAGACTTTTTTTTTTTCCTTGGAAGAGGGCCATGGAGATTTCACTAGATGCTAAACATGTGCCGCATTGAGCTACTTTATGTTTGCAAAGTAACCTTTTTAGTTATTTTTGTCGTAGTACTAGTATTTACATGAGGTACGCTTGTAGACTTTATATTGTGGCTAATGTTTGTTAATAAATCTGTTTACCTAATTCTTCAAAGGTGTCACAAAACAGATTCCCAACATGCACATTAGATATGGAAAGGTGTTGATAGTGGAAAGGTATGGGTAGTGATCACAGCAGTCCATCTCCTCACTGAAGCTGTTTCCTTTTTTATGGTGTTGCCAGACAAACAATTGCAAGTTCTTTGGGCCCTTTTGGCAGATCAAGTCCCACAGACCCAAAATCAACTGTTGCTAGTTCAGGCTGGACTTTCTTGCTGTTTTCCATAAATACCAGGGAAATTCCAGGTCAGTTTGGATAACTTGTCTTGCTCTGTCTCCTGTGAGCAACTTGTGCAGCTGCATAGGAGCGGGGCACTGCCATTCCTGCCGGGAGCACTGCTTCCATGCCCTTTGGTCACCTGCTCTGCTGCTCACCAAACTTAGAGAGCCCCTCTTTCAAAAGTACGTGGGGGTTTTGGCCTCTCTGTGTCTGTTTTGGTTTTTATTTATTATTATTTAAGCAGGGATATTCTGACCTCTCTCCTTTAGGTCTTTGTTGCAAATGGGATAGAAAAACTGCTAGAAAACACTACTTTTACTACTTCTCTTTAATACCTAACTCCTTGTTCAGGCAAATCTTGCTGAAACATCCTAAAAGTGACTTTTCAGATTAATGTCCTATGTGCAGCTTTTCTTTTTGACCAAAGCTTTAACCTTCTGTATTTTCTGAAAAATCTGCTATGCTTTGGCTGTTAGATTGCTAAACCCCTTGTTGTTTTTTCTTACTTTCAAGCTGGAAGGACTAGTGCTGCCTTTTTCAATAGATACTTTGTAGTTACTTCTCTGGCAACCATTTTATCTTTAACCAGGAGTCTTCTTGAGTCTCTGTTGGTTTCTCTAAAACAGACTCTGATCATTTCACTGCAGCAGACAAAGACAGAATATAAGGATTAATTTTTAAAGACAAGGATGTTAATTGATTAAGGAACACTGTGTCAAGAGCTATGCTGGATTATCCTCCAGGGATAAGCGCAATACTGATATTTGATAGTTGAAAAATACGATTCAACACATAGCTTATTGAAGCAATTTCATGTCAGAACATGTCTGGCATGATCTTAGCAGTCATTTCTGGCTTTAATATGCATGAGTCCAATTTTGGCTTTGTATCTTCTCTGAGGTCTGCTCATCTCTGGATGAGGTTCAGCACCTGGGCTTCCAGCAGAGTGGGAGTTTCATCAGCACAGGTCTTTCACTGGAGTTCAGCGGGAATTAAGTCAGCTCTACTCCACCAAAACCACTTTTAAGATCTGGAAGAGCACAGAGCAAGTGGAGATGATCTGGGGATTAACACTAAATATTCAAGTTGACTCTGAGCCAAACTGCAAATGTAGAAATACTGGTTTGTCTCTGCTTATATTCGCTGCTTCAGTTCGGTTTGGTGAGGATACTGCTCCGTGTAGTTTTCTGGGAACAAGGATCTGCCCATTACATGCCCAGGTTACCGTTCTTGCTTAACAAACCAGCCACATTCATGACCTTCATTCTTTTATTTATAGGAAGACAAGTTGGTGATGGAACTGGTATTTTTTTGACTACTTTCATCTACCCAAATATACACAAATTACTATTTGCCTGAACATGGAGAAGTTGAGTAGCAGGAGGGGGTTATCTCATGGTTTAAATCCTCCTGTGACTTGGTTCAGCCCTGGGATTCTTTCTTCTGTCCCGAGTTGTGTTGCTCGGATGTCTTGTAGCTCCTGGGAACACTCCTGCTTCCAGCTGCACGAGTAACTGCCATTCCTGTCACATCTCTGGGACAATATCTAACCCACAGCAATCCCAACAATAGAGGGCTGTAAGAACGATTGTGTCAGGACTCAGCCCACTGTCCTGTTTCTAAAAGCAGCCACTGACATGGAGGGAACAGTTATTAATAGTGCCAGCATATGGGGTTACTGTCCCAGCGCAGCCTCCCAACGTCTAGCACTTTGTGCCTTGGAGACTTCCTAAGGCAGGAGTAGTACTTCTGTATTTTGTAGCTTACATTGATTTGTCCAGTGGCCTCCAAACCCCTTTGGCATATGCAGTGCCCCAATATAGGTTGCTTGTTATGTGTGCTATGGAGAATTCCT